TTCTGGCTATGTGATTGTGAGCAAGTTACTTAACAATAAATTTGCTCACATGTAAAATAAGTAAAATAATGACTACGTCATAGGATCATTGAGAAGAAGACAAGATAATATACATAAGCACTTGGTATATGGCGTAGTATAGATACTTGATAAATGTTGATTTTTAAAATAAATGAGAACAATTTTTATAACTTTTTTATTATTGTTGTTATTTATAGAAAATTATGAAGTACAGATAAGCAAAAAGAAGAAAATAAAAGGTGCTCATACCTTAGGTATGCAGAGATATTCAATTTTAACATTTAAGTATATTTCTTTCCCGAATTTTTCCCCTAGGAAATTTCCTCTAGAATTTTTCCTGTTATAATTATACGTGTGTATGTGTATGAATATGCATGCAAAATTATACAAAAATAGCATAAAATATGCATATATAGTTTTTGTTAATTGATTTTCACTTAATAATGGATTATGAATATTTACCTATGTTCTTAAATATTCCTTTGCAAAACCTCCATCATATTCTCTTATAGCATATTCAATTGCCCTTTTAACATGAAACTTTTAGATAGTTTCTAAGTTTTCATTTGTTTCTCTTATGACTGACATGGTGATGAACAGCTCTATATCCAAATACACGCACACCTCGGAGATATTGTGGGTTGAGTTCCAGACCACTGCAATAAAGTGAATATCACAATAAAGTGAGTCACGTAAATTTTTTGGTTTCCCAGCGCATATAAAAGTCATGTTTACACTATGCTGTAGTCTTTCAAGTGTGCAATAGCGTTATGTCTTAAAGAACAATGTACATACCTTCATTTTTTAGCAATGCTCATCAAATAACCATCATCTGAGCCTTCAGTGAGTTGTAATCTTTCTGCTAGCAGAGGGTCTTGTAAAAAATGCAATGTCTGTGAAGCTCAATAAAGTGAAGCACACTAAAACGAGGTATGCCTCTACTTTCACATTTATATGATTGTTTCCTTATGATTAAATTCAAGAAGTAACATGGTAATTTTCAATAATAATAAAGATAATGAGAAAAAGCATGAAAAGCACAGAGTATAGTAACCAGCACATGGTAAATCATCAATACATGGGGATCTGTGTGTGTACTGTAAGAGGGGAGGGAGAAATATTTTATTTGAAAGTCTTGCTAATTACCCAAAATATCTTTTATTTAAGAATATTTAAGAGTTCTTGTTTGTTTTATAAACACACATCATGCAAACGAAAAAACAGTGTATTCTGTTTATAGATGTTGATTTAGTATATGTTTCTGTGAAAAGGGCTGCTTCTTTGACTAATGGAAATCATCAAGAATAATCCAAAAGGAGACAACTGACATATCCTGGGGTGGGGTGGATATTTACTTTTTATTTTTTCCCTTTCTGTGGATTAAACCTGCTGTTAGTGTGATGTGGACATGCCCTCCAGCCTGTTGCCTCTCACACCGGGTCTGAATGCCCAGTCTGGGGCCCTCTTGGCAGAGCTGCCCCGACAAGTACTCAAAATAGGAATATACAGATGGCATGCTATCCATGAGAGAACAGTATTGACCTGACAGATCTGTTCTCATCCACAGGCTGAAGTGCTGTTATGAAGGAGGGATGGGGAAAAGTGCCCAGTTCCCACGTGGTCATTCAACACATTCACGTGGTATCTGTGCTGAATGTGTCGAGGTACAGAGCCCATGGCAATGCCAGAGAGAAGAAATAGTAGACTCAGTGAGAACCTTCAAGAGTCTGAGAAAGTGTGGCTTGGTGAAATAGGCTGGATGGAAACCATGGTGAGCTGGAGGGCATGCGGTTCAGGTGGGTTGGCTGCTACTCACCTCCAGCCAACGGCGGCCATGTGAGAAGGCAGGCTCAGATTTCCCAGAGCTTCCAGTTGTCAGGAGAAGTGAAAACCTGAATCTTGCATTCAAATCTCTCCATTTTCAGATGTTATTGGAAAAATGTAGGAATGAAATTTTAAAAAGCATAATGTGTTTGTGTGTGTGTATGTATGTATAATTTGTTTTGTCAAGCTTGATCTCCAGCTTGCTGACTGCAGATCTTGGGACTTGTCAGCCTCCATATTTGCTAATGCCAATTCTTAAAAATGAATGAATGAGTCTGTGTCTGTGTGTGTGTGTATGTGTGTACATGCATGCATATCCTATTCGATCTGTTTCTCTGGAGAACCCTGAGTGATACAGATATGCGCACGCGCGCGCACACACACACACACACACACACACACACACACAAACTTACTTGGAGAAGAGGAAACATGGTGGAGGGACAAGGACAGAAGCTAGACTTCTTTGAATATAGCTTGCTTTGTAGATTTGACTTTGGTGCCATCTAAACAGTTCACACAAAATTAGATTTTAAAAAAGCAATCATTAAAAATTGAGAGGGGGAGAAATAAGAAACAATTGAACCTGACTGGACAACAGGTTGGTGACATAGCCATTCAGAATGGAATTAGTTAAGTGACTTTGAAACCCAGTCATTTGCTTGCACTTTCCTAGTAGGTTATACACTAAAGATTTTTTTTTAAAGACAAATTTTAAACTGTGGTTAATCATTATGTTAGTGTGGTAGTGGCATTGGTGTGCTGTAACTGCTCTGTCTGTGTTTTGGGTTAAGTCAAATGAGTAATCATGCTAGTGTTACTGAAAACACAGATTTCAGAGTGGAAGAAAAGTAATAGCATTGTAACATCCACGAGGTTAAACGAAAACCTTCAAGTCCTGAGTTTGAACTGAGCTTTCATGTGAACTCACAGTGTAAGTTGTGTATAAAACACACACACGCAACTTGTTTTCTAGCTCTGTGCACAGAACCAAGGGCCAATCCAGGAGCAATGAGCACCCAAAGCTCTCAGTTTGTGCTCTCTAAATACCAGTCCTCACTAAAATGAACCAGGGATTCTCACTAGAAGTGGCTGGTTCTGGGCTTGGCACAGGACATGTGTAGGGCCATCGAAGACTGCTGGGTCATATTCAAAGGACTTAAGGGTCAACTTAAAGAGACCCCCACCGAGCAAGGATAGGACAGTTAAAACTTTAATAGGAATAAAAACTGTACTGTAATAAAAAAATCAAAATGTTCATAATGATGTTTTAAAATATGAAAAACTCTCATCGGTCATCTTTGGAGGATATTAGGTAACCAATTCAATAGTTTGAAGAGCAATAAATAAGAAAAAATCAAGCATCTATCAACTTCCTATAGAAACTATAATTTTAGGGTAAACATGTAGTTGATGACGTGCAATTTCTCTTGATAGACTATCCCAGCTAATAAATTAAGAAGAAATAATAGAATTATTTTATCACGAGTTTGAAATCTCTATTGAAATAATAGATCCTCTGGTCAAAGGTCACCAAAGGCTGATGACATCACAGCAAAAGACATTATGTGGCTCCTGATAGAGCATGTAGTAGGCAGAAAAATGCCCTCCACATCTCAGAACCCATGAATAGTTACATTACATGGCAAAGGGGAATTAAAGTTATGCATGGAATTATCATTGCTAGATCACCTGCTTTGTCAGGTGACCTTAAAATAGGGTTATGCTGGATTACCCAGGTGTGCCCAATGAAAGTACAAGGGTCTTTAAAAGTGGAAGACAGAGGCAGAAGATTTGTTGTCAGACTGATGAGATGTGAAAAAGATTCAACTAGCCATTGCTGACTTTGAAGATGGAGGGGTATACCAGACCAGGAACATGGGCACCCTCGAGAAGCTAGAAAAAGATGACAGCTGGATTTTGCCTTAGAGTCTCCAGAAGAGGATGCAGCAGCCCTTCTGGGACCTTGATTTTCACCCTTTCAGCTCTGGGTCAGATCTCTAACATACAGAACTATAAGATAATAAATTTTTGTTGTCTCAAACCACCGAGTTTGTGGTCATTTGTGATGGGAGCGATAGAAAACTAATATATTCCATTTCCCAGGGCGTATTCTTTCTAAAAAACTGAGCCTGAATCTGATCAAGCATCTTGATCTAACTACTGATTTATAGGAAATACAGGGGACAGGGGAACATATTATATGAAATTATGGGAATGTTCAGCAAAATCTCTGGGCAATGCTATTAGAAAAATGACATGCTTTGTTTATCAAATAAAGTGTGTATATATACATATATATATGGATGTGTGTATTTATATATGGATGAGTGAGAGAGAAAATCTCCAACTAAGAAGATTTTAGGAAGTGATACAGTGTTTTATATATCAACTAATTGCAGCAGGAAATTTGATTCACATAAGCAAATATACAGAGAGAACATAAATATTAATTAAATTCAAACATCAACCCTGGGTATTTGATGATATTAATGAATGATCTTTTTTTGTGGTGTGGTAATGGTATTATGGTTATATTTAAACAAAGGAGGTAGGCGTGGTGGGTATAATAGATAACAATAGCCATAAATTGGTAATTGTTGAAGATGAATGATAGGTACATAGGTGTTTGCTGTTTATCCTTCCTACTTTTGTGTATATTTTAATATTTCTATAATAAATTATTAGTAACTAATTTGATGGCTTAAATGTTTTATGAGCCAAACATCCCATGTCCAAAGGCTGGATTAGACCAACAGACTGCCAGTTTGTAATTTCTGCTAGAGTTTTAGAAACTGGACCTTTCACTTTACCCTGGGGAATCATCCTTTTCTCTTTTCCCACTCACCTCCTGCCTCCATTCTTTCTGCACTGCCAAGCAAAAAGGACCTCCTTTATCTATGCTAGTGAATGACTGGGGGCGTTACAGATTGCTTGGAATAGAATTTTCTCAGAATAAGTGGGTAAAGATGGTAATATGCATAATTGCGTTGAACAATGCCTTCCAGTATTTTGAGTATTTGTTTGGACCACTTCTCGTTCTACCCTCTCAAAAAAAAAAAAGGCAATAACTTTGTTTCAGTTTTTGAAAGCCTGAGGTATTTTGAAATTTTGGCTAATCACATGTTCCATGTTATTCTGTGCCTCTATTTCAGGATGGAATGGGAAACTTGAGAATCACAGAAGAAGGCCTAAAGCTAGAAGGAGTCTCAGAATTCTTGCAACCTCTCTACGCCAAAGAAATCCAGTCCCGACCAGTAAGTTTCGCTGAGAGAAGAAGGAATTATTGTTCCTCTGGAATCTAAATCTGGGGAACTTTATCTTGCCATCAGCTGAGCATAGAGGGTTGGGGTCGGGGGTAGTAATGCAAGTAGTGAGCTGCGTTCACATAGGAAGTCTTGCGTATAACCAACACTGTGGTACTGTAAGCAGGTGAGATGACCTCTCTGAGCCTCTTTCCATTCCTGTCCAATAGGGGGTGATAACCTCTGCTAACCAACTTTCTAGATTATGCTGCAAGTAAAGCAAGACAATAAATGTGAAGGTGCCATAAGGACTATACAAATGTAAGAAAATATTGCAATCATTTTTTAATTGTCAAGAGCTTCAAAGCCATCTTTGGAAATACAGAAATAAAGAACTAGAATTTTGTTTTCTGTTAAGAATTTGGACAATATAGGCAAGGTGACTTAGAATGAATTCAATATATCAACAACTATGCTCTGAAATAGGATTTTAAATAATCATTCTAGACTGTGTGCTCTGTTCCATGCACTTCGCTGCTTTGCCTGCATTATCGTTACCTATTACTTGGTCCACTGGGGTGGTGGTGATCGTTGCCTCCATTTTACAGATGAAACAATTGAGGCTTGGAGAAGTATTATGTCCAAAGCCACACACTTACGGAGTACGAGAGCAAAGATTTCGACCCAGGAAATCCAGTTCTGAAGCTTTTCTGCTAGCCAGTCTCCCTCCTGGCTTTCCTTTTCCAATCTCTTTCTTTCTTTTTTTTTTTTTTGGAATGATGGAGGTGATTCTTAGATATTTTTCTTTCTCTTCTTTTTTTTGTGAGGAGGATCACCCCTGAGCTAACGTCTGTGCCCATCTTCCTCTATTTCATGTGGGATGCTGCCACAGCATGGCTTGATGAGCTGTGCTAGGTCCGCCCCCCGAATCTGAAACTGTTAACCCTGGGCTGCTGAAGCAGAGGCCACAAACTTAACCACTACACCACTGGGCCAGCCCCAATATTTTGCTTTTATTAACCAGTATTATAAAAATTAACTTTTGTTTTTGAGTGTTTTTTTGGGCTAGTCGTTGTTTCTTTGGTTTTTATTTTTGTTTTTTTGATGGAGTGGTGGAATTTGCTGGTTAAAAAGGATTAGTAATGCATTTGCTCTGCCTGGAATTGGTCTGTGTCTACCTGCAAGCAAGGAGGAACATGAAAGTTCCTCAAAGCATCATTTGCATTGTGCACGTTGATTAGCGTAAATAACGAAATTCAGCACCTTGATGCAGTGGGTAATTTTATCTGAATGCTATCTAAACTACTGAATGTATTAAAGTGGTTCAACTACTGAATTGCCAATAAGTTTACTTCTTCGTGTGCCTGGTATAAGGGAGGGAGCCATGATGTTAGTCATCACAAAGAGCAAATTAGTTCAGCTACCCAATTGATGATTATAACATTTCACTGGGACTCATCGCAGCCTGTCTTGGGCACTTAAAGTATCCAGACTGCTGTAATCATAGCCATTGTCTTTAAGGAAGCTGTGTCCTAGAAGGAGTAATGGGATGCAACCATAACAAGGAGGGCTGGGTGGTGATTCTGTGTTGGACTGAAGGGAGACAGCTGATTTCAAGCATTTAAGAAATAACCTGCTATATGCTTTGCTCTTGATCTATATTTACTTCTCCCAACATAGCAAGTTGGTTAGTTACATCATCATTTGAGTTCTTCGTTGTACTTTAGATTAATAATCTTATCTATATGAAACTTATTTAACTCAGTAGTTTGAATTGATCATTTCCCTCTAATGCTGTTGGCCTTTTTTCTATAAAGCCAGATAGTAAATATTTTAGACTTTCATTTTTTCTCTTGTATAACTCTTCAAAAATGTAAGGCATTCTTACCTCAAGGACCACACAAGACTATAGTTTGCCAACCCCTCTCTCCTATATTAGTGATATTTCTATAAATACGTAAATGTTCTGGCTAGGTTGCATCTGGTACAAGAGAGCAGATCTTAAGATTGTGGGTAGAACATCTGATATGTGTTAAGTAAAATATCCAGAAATAAGTTTCCTTGTTGTGGAAAAAGAATTGATAAATGTGTTTTAGAAAAGGGACTCCTGGCACATCTTAGGTCCATAATCAGGCACTGAACTTTTAGCAATATTGGCAGTCATCTGATCCCAATTCAAAGATACAATGATTGAAGCTTGAAAGGTAATGATAATCTCAAAAAACTTAATCTTGAAAAATTAGTGAGTTAATTTCAATGCTTTCAAATCACTGTTTAAAGAAAATAATGTTAGAACTATTTTTCCATTGTGCTGAAGAAAGTATTTTCCTCTCAAAAAATAAGTAGTAAATAAATATTTTTAGCCTTATACGTCTCTGACAATAAAACAAATATCTTCTAACTGAAGAAAAAAAGGCATGCAGATATGCATATATAAGAAAATCTGTCAGTAAGTCATGTGAGCTCTACCTGGAATATGTGCCCACATCCATCCACCCTGCTCCATCACATGCCACCCGTTAGTTCAAGCCACCATCCTCTCTCACCTGCACCATTGCAGTAGCCTCCTGTCTCTGCTGTCTTGCACTCTTAGCTTCATAGTGCAAATTGTAGCCAAAGTAGTCTTTTCAAAATGTCAAGTCCCTCCACTCCTTTGCAGAGGACTCTCTGTTGACCTCCTGTTGCACCTGGAATAAAATTCAAACTCCTCACTAACGCCGATAAAATTCTTTACCAGATGTTTTTCCTGGAAAGCTCCTTCTGGTCATCCTGATCTCAGTTCAAATGTTGCCATTTTAGAAAGACCTTCCTCATTTGGTACAACATTCAGATATAAAACATCACCTTGATTTTATTCCCCCCGTAACTGTCATCACTTGACTTTCTTATTTGCTTAAGAAAATAAATTTGAAAGAACAGGAGATTGACTGGATTTTCCCCACTATATTTCCCAGCCCTATTGCTATGTCTTGCAAATAGAATGTGCTCAGTAGATTATTTGTGAAATTGAATAATGAATCATTAAAAATGTAAGTGTCATTAAATCTATCTTGCAAGGGCAAGCACTGTTAACAATTTAGCTTATGTTTTTAGGCATTTTCCGTGAGGATATATTTTTGACAAAACCATACTGTGCATATTCCTCCGTACCTTTTTCCTCCAAATGATATATTAACAGTAAATTTTCCATATTTAAATAAAATTTAAAAGTTTAAGAGCTTTTCTGATATATAATTGGCATAGAATAAATTATGCATATTTAAAGTGTGCAATTTGATGTTTTCACGTATTTATATATATGTGAAACCATCACCACAATCAAGATAATGAACATGACTGTCACCACTAAGAGTTTCTCCATGCCCTCATCCTGCTGTGTCCACTCTACTCCCTCTGTTTCTGTCCCCAAGCAACCACTAATTTGCTTTCTGTCTAATATTACTTTGAATTTCTTAGAACTTTGTATAAATGGAATCATACAATTTGCATAACTAAATAACTTTAAGAATAAATTGCCTATGCCATTTTATCATTTTTTTTTTTACCATGTATTTAATATCCAATTTAAAGGAGAAAAAGATCTTTTTTTTTGCCTGCAGTCAGACTCTGTCTTGGTTTGGCTGGGGAGAGATATTAGGAGTGGCTCAGAGCAGAGACCTTTCATATTTCTCTTTGGATGCCATCAGAGCACTGACAAGGGAATAGAGAATAATATATTAAGCATGGCAACAAAGGTAGAATTAGTATCTTTGAATTTTCACAAAGAATGAAAACAGGTATGATGGACAAAAAAAGCAAAAGAACAAGATGAGAAGCTGGTGATTTAGTCTGTACAGCTCCCTGGCCCTCAAGCACAGGGATAATTGACAGCTCAACAGAATTGGAGTTCTGGTAGCAAAGAAGCTGGGGGGAATGACTGTTGAGTAGGCAACCAATAGAATTCACCATGCTTGCTGAATCATAACCTCACATGATGCTCCCATGAACCTCACATGTAGCAGCTTTCCATTCTCCACTCTGGCAGCTGCAGCTTATTGTTTTTTTCTGATGCATCTGACCGTTGCTTATAAACCACCTCTGGAAGACTCTTCTCAGAATAATTATCTGTAATATCATTTCTCCATAGATCATAGCTGCTTCTATTTCATGGGGTGTCTCCTTCTGTTTTTTCCCATTGAAAAGAGATCAGTGTCCACTTGAACAAGATTACTCAGCCCCTCTAAGTGGGGCTAACTAATGAAGGAACACTTGACTTCATTTGGTTTGTTTCATTGATCTGAGAGGAACAGATTGGTTAAGCAATCCACACAATGTTCAATACTGTATCTGATTTCATTATTGAAGTTTGCAACCCTGGTAAAGTCACTACAAATTGATTAGTGTGATAGCAATCACTTTGGAAGATAAATTAATGAGAGAATGTTCATCTCTGTAAAAAACTTCCATTTGGCAATTGAATGAAAGCCCCAGGACTTTCTAGCTTTAGCCACATGGATGCATAGCTTCCAAGTGTTAAAGTATCATGCTGCTCAGAAAATAGATTGAAAAGGGCACACACTAAATTAACTCTTCTACCATCAGATTCAAAGACCAGGCTGTGCCTAGAAATACTACTTGAATGCACTGGCACAGAAATTTATAAAGTTAAGGGATATAATGCCAAAAAACTCTGTTTAATTCCCCATGTCAGTGTGGTAGGAATCTTAATTGCTAAACACAACTGCAAAGTTTTGATAAGAGCTACACATAGTTGACTGAATGAATGAATGCTAAAGAGACTTTTAATCGCAAAGTCTCGGTTTGGCCAAAGTGGCAGATCCATACTTCTTTTGAGAGGTTTCTTGCTTTTGCTCCCCATGATTCTGGAACTTTTGGGTGCTTTTGTATAACTTCATGAGATGTGACAAGGGAAGGGAAACTCGCATTTATTGAGCATCTACTATGAGCCAGGCCTACAGCAATGGGAAAGTTACACAGTGAATTTATCTCCATCCTCACTTCAAACTACACTT